AATCCTTCATTTCATACACTGTATGAGGCACTTTTTTGATGGAAATTCCTAGAATTCAGTAAGAATTTGAGGTAGATGAATGTGGCTTTAAGACACATAGTAACCAAGGTATGAACATCATGTTTTGATGGGATATTTAGACTTCTCGTGAGTTTATTTGATATAGCCAGTAGTTGGACTACCGATTTTATTCATACGGAGTAATGAATGAATAACTGAATGATGTTAGGACTTGATTCCTCTCTCTTCTTATTTCTGAAAGTAAATAATAATGAGTACAGTTGCTTAACCTCGCCTGGTTAACTAGTTCACTAGTTACTAGCTGGTCCTAAGCTTGGGTAAAGAGGGAAGGTTGGGCATAGGGCTAGCAACACTACCCCGTAAAACAAATCCTACCGCTACTGAAAATTCAAAGCGAAGACGGGACTTCAAGTGAACGTAGACAAGACAGAGGTGATGAAGATACCCAACCAACACCACCGCCGACAACAACAAGTTCCAATCACTATTAGAGGGAGAAATCCAAAGGAAGTAGCCTCTTTCATCTATCTAGGCAGGGAGCATCGTTCCAACTACAGGCGGCACAGGAGCAGACGAGGACGTCAAAGCCAGCCAGGATAGGAAAAACAGCAAGATGGGCGTTCATTAACCTGAAACCAGTGTGGAGACTTTCTGCACTCAGCATAACGCGTGAAAAACATCCGGATTTTCAACACCAATCCAGTCAAGTCAGTGCTTCTATATGGTTCAGAGACTTGGCTCGTTACGAAAGGGATTTCCAACAAACTACAGATATTCATCAACAAATGCCCACACTGGCTAGTTACTGAAGCTTAGATGGCCAGAATAATGAGAATAAGCAACAAGGAACTCTGGCTGACTGACAACGAACCAACGAAGCAAGAAGCTATCGCTGAACAAATATGCAGTGGAAGGAAGTGGAGATAAATTTGGCATACATTGAAAAGGCGGACTGGGAACATCACGCGCCAGGCCAGTTGCTCGAGTAGAATCCAGAAGAGAAGCGACGAGTCGGGCTTTCGAGGTGAGGGTGACATGGAGGAGACCGTGTCAGTGAGGAAGAAATGAGAGCTTGTGGGCTGTCTTGGAGACAGGTTCAAAAGGTAGCGGAGAACAGAGTGGAATGGAGACCTACTACTGAAGCCATATGTTCCACTAGGAACCCAAGGGACAATAATAATAATAAGCCATGTTTCAAATTTGTGGACTTAACTGATATGAATATAGACAATAGATAATGTACGAAGCGGTAACCGGTTAATAACACTGTCCCTTAATTATGTGACAATTCTTACAAGCAAACACAAAGTCCTTGGTTTGCCTTTGCGGTATGACTTGCAATTTTGATTAAAATGAAAGGAGATATTCATTATATTACAGATAATATTACTCAGTGTATAAGTTACATTCCAAATTTCCCACAACTGTCCAACACACATAATGAATCTAAGTACTACTCATTACAAGTGAATAAATAACTAAAGAGACTTTAACTAAAAGTTGTTCAATTGATTTTTTGTTTAATGATGTAACTTTTTAAGGACAAAAACGAAGATGAAGAAATCGAAAGAATAATCTTTAGAAAAATTGTCTTTCTTTTCGATTGCGTGCACATTTCAACATAATTTCAAATAGGCCGCATATTATTCAATCTTGAATTTGTAAGTAAAAAGCAAAAGTGAAATTTCTATCTGGAGGTTCGTGGACATTTATTAATTGACTTTAGGTCAGAATTCATTATAGATTGACATCAGTTGAAGGAACATTGGAGATGTGGGAATACTGGACAGCTGTTTCTTCCTGGTATGGGGATCTTCAACAGTGCGCATTCATGACCGCGCTCCACCACTGATCGAACCCAGCACCTTCATGTACCACGGTTAACGCATTATCAGTGTGCAACTGTGTTGGAATCTGCTGGTTCATATTTCCTAGTTCTGTCAGTTCATGATAAAGTGCGACATATATTCAACGTCTCGACTGAGTAACTATCCTCATGTTTGACGTAGTTGACTCCACTAATCTCGATTTCTCATTCGAACTTTGCTAATCACCTCTCAGAGCTAGTCATCATCATGAATTCCAACCTTAAATTAATTAATACATCTCCACAAATCTTCAGAGAAAATTAATCTAGCTGTCATTGATGACTAGCTTCGATAGGTGATTCGTGAAGTTCCAATGACAAGTCGAGATTAGTGGAGTCAACCAAGTCGACTTTGGATGTAGGTCACACTATATTGTGAACTGATAGAAGTAGGGAATATAGGCCATTAGATTCCGACCCGTCAAGTCAGTGCTTCTATATGGTTGAGAGACTTGGAGCGTCACGAAAAGCATTTCCAACAAACTATAGACATTCATAAACAACTGCCTACGCTGGCTCGTTACTCAAGCTCAGATGGCCAGAAAGAATAAGCAACATGGAACTGAGGGAACGAACCAACGAAGCAAGAACAAATATGCAGTGGAAGGAAGTGGAGATGGATTGGGCATGCACTGAGGAGACCATTCGAAGACATCAGGCGCCAGGCCAGGCCCCAAGTGGAAGCCAAATGGTAAACGACGAGTTGGTCGTCCGAGGTGGGGGTGATATGGAGGAGATGGTGTGAGAAAGAAATAAAAGGTTATGGGCAGTCGTGGAGTCATGCTTGAAAGACTGCAGAGAAGAGAGTGTAATGGAGACGTGCTAGTGAAGCCCTATGTTCCACAAGAAACCCAAGGGGAAAATAATAATAGCAATGATAGATTCCGACCCAGTTGCACAACGATAATGTGCTTGTTGTGGAACCTGAAGGTGTTGGGTTCAATCTATGGCGGAGTGGGGTCATGGGTATACACTGTTGAGGATCCCCATACTAGAAGAAAATAGCTGTCTAGTGCTCTCACATCTCCAATGTTCCTACAACTGATTTTTTGCCATGATGTATTTCAACCTAATAAAGTGGAGTATATTTTCAGTTATCATTAAAGTTAGTCATTCCTGTCCAACGATTCTGTCTATTCGAATAATAACAAAATAAGTTGATGAAGTGAGTTGAGTATTTTCTTTTCTACGATATATGAAGAAAAGTAGAGACAATTAGGTTTTGAAGTGAGCGGAATTTCGATTACAAGTTATACAGTAATAACAGTCATCAATGATCCAGTTAAACAGAATACAATTTTTAGTAATGATGGGCAGTGGCTAGCAGTAGAATCCAGGATGCTCATTTCGTCCTATTTGGGACTCGTCAGCTGGATGTACCCGCTTCCCAGTGATGTTGTTCCCACCGGGAATGTAGAGAACTAAATGAATAATGAAAATACTCTTCACCATATAAATGAAAGAGAAATAAACAAATTATAGTATTTTGTAAAGTTTTTAACTACTAACTGTTTTTAAGCAGACGTATATCAGTGTTATTGCTTGTATGACACCATCGTTGATTGGACCGAATTGATCAGCCTCTGTTGGCATATAGGCTCCTATGCGGATGCCTCGATATTGCCTGTCTTTTAACTACCTACAGTAATGATGGGCAGTGACTAACAGTGGAATCCAGGATGCGCATTTCGTCCTACTTGAGACTTGTGGGCTGGATGTACCTGCTTCTCAGTGAGTGTTGTTCCCTCCGGGACTCGAACTGGGGACAGATCGCTTCAAACACGAGAGCGATAGCCACTTCTTGTTCGACGGGTATAGGTTTAGTGTTATTGCTTGTCTTATATCAGTATTGAATCAAATAAGCATTGACAGCCGACTAATGACCAGATTTTGCATTTCATTTCAATCACCAAAAGTTTCGCCTGACTACTATTTGAATTCATGACACATTACTACTGGTTGATTGTGCTGACACTGGCTATCCCGCAGTCACGATTTATCATCTCAATTCAAATGTAACTGAATTAGACAGGGGGGATATCATATTGATTATCAGGTTGACTATCCGGACAAATTAGAACAATAGAGAGCTTCATACTTCCTCATCTAGTTGACATGAGACATTAAGTAGATATTAGAAAAGCTTTCAAAATTATTCATCAGATTCCAATTAATTTACCATATAGATTATACTCTGGCTTACATCACATAGTAGTGGTGAATGCTAACCTTTGTATTCAAAAAGAAGTTTGTTCGTCCACTTTCATTACCGTGGCCGTCAACATGATTTAACCTCTAGTGTTAGTTTGTACACCAATTCCCACCCCACTTGTTTCTGTCATTATTTATTTGTTTTCTTATTATTACGTAATCGCCTCCTGTGAATGACTGAACACTCATCGAAAATCACTCCATTTACCTAAGAATAAGCTGCTTCATATTACCAATTTTAGTAACTCTATTGATTATTTACATCATTATTTCGGGAACATTACCATGTGATTGGTAATTTGATAAAATTATAAAACGATGCATATTAGTGTTGAGCCGAAATTGAAGACTTAAATGAAAAGGAATAACGCATTCAACGTGAAACCTGAAGGTCCTGAGTTCGATCCGTGGTGGAGTCGTGGGGGCTTAGTGCTAAGGAGTCCCATACTAGCCGGACGAAACAGGTGTTCAGTGCTCCCTGATTTCTAATGGTTCTCCAACTGATGTCAGTCCATGATGAATACTACTTCTGAAAAGGAATATATTTCTTCGGTCAGACAGTCATTTTCCATATGTCTAAATGGGAATATTCAATGTATTGAAATCTCATCTCGCTACATTAGATTAGCGAGCATTAGACAGTCATTAAATTGTAGAGTAACGCTGTATCTTGGACTGACAAAAGTTGTGACGTATTCTCCACAGAAACTGAAGGTTATCGGTTGTATTCCTTATGAAGTTATGGGTGAACACTGCTGAAGAGTCATGCACAAGGATGAAACATTTGTCTAGTGCTCCCAGGTTTCCAATGGTTCTCCAACTAATGTCAGTCCATGGTAAATACAAACTTCAGATTATATGGACAGTTGAAGTATAATGTAAAACAATTCAACTAGCTTACTTTTGCTAAATCTACCAAGGAATTCGATTTGTCTTGGAGTTCTCTCTGTCTTACTTTCATTGTTCTTAATCTGGAAAAAAGTAAAATTCAATACCATCGGTGTGTATTTGCATTTTGAAGATACTGAAGAAGGAATTATTGTCATAAAAGACTGAAATTGACTGAGTTCGACTGCTAACAACGCAGATTTACAAGCCATAGCATTAAAACTATACTGAACGCATAGCAGAAGGAGTCTCTCATGATTCAGTCTAGTGGATAACACTTTGATGTTTAAAGAGTTTTGTCCAGAGTTCGAGTCTTCAAGAGGTTGCCAATAAACTGGTGACACATCGAGTCCACCTTCACTATGAGGAGCAATAAATAAAGCTAAACATGTTACTTTTATCTTGTACTAAGAAAACAGATAATCTAAAAGCAGCTTTATACACACATCATTTCTTCACTTTCAGTAGGACTGATCATCTACGAGGTTGATGAAAGAACATTGCGACCAAACAGTCTTCTGTTGGAGTACTGATTCTCTAACAGAAAGGTCAGTGACTGAAATTCGCTACTAAAATAAGTGGTAGCAAAGATTAGCAAAAAGGTACAGCCTACTATCTCTTCCACAGAAAACTAAAAAATGAAAGCGTAACGTATGATATTGAAATGGTCATCTTAATTGTGAAATGGTGAAGAATATTTGTAGCTAAGGTGGATGGTCTCCGTTGTATTGGGTTGTTTAACCGTGGAGCTTACATCGTCTTTCTAGACAACACTATCATAGACCACCTGTTGACTTTCCAATGGGATGGAAACTAGCTGAGCAAAATGGAAGACAAATAGTACAATTAATGATCACAGATATACATCATCGGTTTCAGAAATGTCAATTTGTGATTAGCAATCAAAAGAGAAAAGTAGAAAACATACTCATGACACAACATATGGCAACATTAACAACAGCAATTGAAAAATCAAGCAGATGATATAGAGAACAATGAAGAAAGGCCCTCAGGAAAAAACTGCTCAAAATTTCAGAATCACCCAAAACTGAGGAAACAAATGGCTGTGTTGCCAACTTATCAAGACAACCACTAACAAAAAACGGAAGAACTATTTTTCAGAAAGGACTGAATTATAACACAGAATTTTTTGCTACATTAGAATCGTCAATTAAAACATCAGGATTAAATGAGACCACTCAACAAGAAATACGGCAAACAATCGTACCACTAACCAGGCAGAAGAGACATTAGGCTCAAATGAACACTTAAGAATAGAAAACATTAAGAAAACTGAAAAATAGGAAAGATATCGTTATACTTCCAGCAGATTAAAGGATGCACTACGGTAGTCATGGATAAAGAAGACTATATCAAAAAGACAGAGGATGTACTCAAAGATAAAAATGTATATCAACCACCTAAAAGCGGACTTATCCAAAGTTTCCACAACCAGATCGATAAAACCTTGAACAAACTCTTCAAAGCAGAAGAAATAACAAAGCACGACAAATGGTATATGAAATCGAATGGACTTGTCCTTCCTCGGTTCTGTTATTATTATTATTTATTATTATTATTAGTCTTTTGGGTTCCTAATGGAACAGACGGATTCAATAGCACATCTCCAGTGAACTCTGTTCTCTGAGACCTTTTGAACCTGGTTCCACGACAGCCCAGAAGCTCTCATTTCCTCCTCGCATGATCTCCTCCATGTCACCCTTGGACGTCCAACTCGTCGCTTCCCATGGGGATTCCACTCGAGCAACTGGCCTGACGCGTGATGTCCCCAGTCGGCCTTCTCAGTGTATGCCCAATCCATCTCCACTTCCTCCTGCATATTTGTTGGCTGGTAGGTTCTTGGTTGGTTCGTTCCTTGGTTCCATGGTATACCAAAAATACACAAACCAGACATCCCTCTACGACCATTAGTCCCTTCTGCGCAGTGAAGAGAAAAACTTTTCAGAACACACAAAAAGTAAATGTTCAAGTCTGATGGAAATCATCGACCTTTGTAAGACGACATACTTTCGATTCAATGGCAAGATATACAAACAGATGAAAAGAACTCCAATGCGATCACCCATTTCCGGATTAATTTCAGAAGCAGTGATACAGAGACTGGAAGGCATCATTATAACTATTATCAAACCAAAAAATTGGATTTTGCTATGTGCACGACACTTTTGTCATCATTAAAAAGGTGACATTGAAAACATCCACAGTTTGATTAACAACGTTTTCACTAATGACATCGAATCCACAATGGAGAAAGAGTCAAACAACCAACTAACATTTCTAGATGTTCTAGTCAGTAGGGCAAATGCCGGAAAGTTGGAAACCGAAGTGTACAGGAAGCCAACACACACTGAACAAATCTTCAACTACAATAGCAACAACACACGAAATCAGTTGCATGCAGACTCAGTTGAAAAGATTGAGAACACACTGTACTACAGTACAACAACTTGATGGAGAAACAAATAAAATTACTCAATGTCCATCCTCAAGGAGAACGACTACCCACGAAACTTTATCACAAGATGCCTATCCTGTACATCATCAACTACAAAGTCATCGACAGAAATCAATAAACACATCATTCTACCATACATACAGAAGATGTATCAGAAATCACGACAAGATTATTGAGACCACTTGGAATTGGTGTGGTCAGTCATCAACCAACAAATTCTCTTCAAACTATAGTATCAACAGGAAAGGATGCAACAACCAAAGACAAACCGAATACCATTTAGAAAATCAATTGGAATAACTGTAGTCAACACTGCATTCACTGGACAAAATGGTCACCCACTTTCAGTGAACACCAATTGGCTAGTAGACCTCACACACGACATTTCATCACTTGTCGGTCAATGCACGTGGACAACAACTATGGACATGAATTCAGTCTTGGATGGAGCGAAGAAACACAACGAATATCGGAAAATTCCTAGAAGCTTCTCATTCAGCTCAGTCAGTCAGTCAGCAATCAACAGTGTATAGACACAGAGCCAATCTACCAACCAATACGAAAAATGATAAATGACAGAAAGATCAGGGATATTGATGCCTGACTCTTCATACTGAAGTCACTGCCGATGATGTCTTCTGGCAAGACGATGAAAGCTACACGATTAAACAACTCAGCTCAGACAACACAATACAACCAAGATCATTTTAATTGTGTCTATCTACTGATTTTTATTCATGAAGTTGCATAAGACTGGAGGAAGTAATTCAGTGACTTATTCTACTGGTTACAAGTTAGTGAGATCACTTCCTTTTGAAAACCAGTTTGACAGAATTCTCGCAAACTGAAATACTAATTGTAGGATGCATTATTTATTCAACATTGATAATGTAACTAAGACTAAATCGTTTTCAAGGTCAGATGATATTGCTACATGTGTGAACCTATGACTCTTACAGTTTAGTGAATGAAGTACTAAACTAGTAGCCTGAAAGTCTGCAGCAGAGATTCTATGACCGCCTAGATTTTCTGATAAGTTATTATACTTAAAGAAAGAATGCAAAGATATCTTTTTTGGGGGACGGAAATCAGATGGTTCTCTTCAGAAATCGATTTATGTGAAGCTAATAACAAGTGAACAATAGTTAAATTTTCATAGTTGAGTTCCTCATAGAAGAAAAAAGAAATCTGATTTACTATTTATCATCAAGTATCACCATAATCTAGATGAATGATACTGTCAACGATGAATTGAATATGTAGATTTTCTGATGAAACTTTAGAATTAGAACGGAATATACATCAAGTACTCAATACTTTAAAGAAGACTTTGTTCGTGAATGTTGATTTCAAAGAAGATACCCTGATGAATCAAGTGTCCAAATATTCGAAGCGGAAATTCTTTTCTACGAAGCAACAGATTAGCTCTAAACAGTAAGTAGTTTCAGGATGTGTTAACAAGAAGTTTACGGTTAGATTAAATTCAATTACTCCTGTGAAGTTGGTTATATGGGTCATACAAAGCGCTTGCTTTCCAAATGTATCTCTATCGAGTAGAGAATGTAAATCAAAGTAATAATTCAATTCTAATTAGGATGTACCTAAGACCCGTTAAGCAGCCAAGCCAGAGGTTGTGAGTTATCACAAGGAGAACATTAATATTCAACCACTGGCATGAAATACATTCTTTGTTTATACTGGGTGATGATTGAAGGTGAGATGAAAATCTGGACCGTGGCCAGATTTGAACCACTGACCACCTGGTTACCGGCCCGATGATCTACCAACTGAACTACAAGGTCCGACTATTAACCACATTTTTATTTCACTTCAATCACAAGTGAGGTTTTGTCCGACTACCATATGAATTCATAACGCATTACTACTTCATGATCGTATTCACACTGGCTGCCACCAGTCAGGACTTCTCATCCCAATCAAAACCTAATTGAATTAGAATGAGAGGGGGAGCATCATATTGATTATCATTTGACTATCTGAGATAACTTTAATTTGGCAGACTAGTATTTATATTGGTGATTGAAGTCAAATAAAAATGTGGTCAGCAGTAGTCGAACCTCGTAGCTCAGTTGATAGCGTATCGGGCCGGAAACCCGGTGGTCATTGGTTCGAATCCGCAACGGTTCAGATTTTCATTTCACCTTCAAGCATCACCTAGTATAAATACTAGTCTGCTGAATTACGGCTATCTCAGACAGTCAAATGACATTCTCTATTGTGCATATAAGCAATACTTTTTTCACAAGAATGTTTCATAGTCAAACATACTACCAAGGGTAAAATTTTAGGCCTATATTATGCTAAACATCAATAAATAAATCGGTTACCTGTAAATAGCTTGAAGAAATTTTCTTTGATGTGTTCTCACTCGACGTGAATTAAACGTTGGCATAAGTTTTGCATGTTTATACAGCAACCATGTCTCTCTGAGCACATTTGCAGCACAATGTTTTACCTGAATCCAATTAGAATAAAATGCTAACATGAATCAAAAAAGACGATCAACTTGAATGTATCACTGTCATCTCTTTTGCGTGGATATGATCACACTGAAAAGGGTGTTGATTTTAAAAAAAACTTCTCATAAAGACATAGCAGAAATGAATGAACGATTTCAACGGGAAGTCAAAATAATATTTCATGTGAGAAAGTGTACACCCCCCCCTTTCCATCTTATTTTTTCCCCGTAAACTAACACCTTTTTGTCTGTTCAGTCACCAAGGCCTATCTCACATAGTCAAATTAATAATCACTTATGTAAGTGATAATGTGTAGTATATTAAGCTGGATATCAAGCTACTATTCGTTATTAACCGATATCGTCTCAGGAATCGATTATCATATAGAGTTGTCAGTTTAAAAGCTAACCAAAGAAGTATTCATAGCTTGAACTGTTTCTTTTGTATACATAATTTACGTTACCCAGGCCAGATGCCTGAAGTTTCTGATATGCTGAGTATTTGATATCTGGTACCTTGCAGGAGAATAATGCGTGTGCAGTGAATTATAGAAAATGATTCATTCATCATCTTAGCTTAATGGTCTCTTTCAACTAAGCTGGGTAATATCAATATTTATACTGGGTGATGATTGAAGGTGAAATGAAAAATTGGACTGCTGCCGGATTCGAACCAGCTACTACTAGATTTTCAGCCTGTAATAAATACTAGTCTGCCAAACTACGACTATCTCACTCAGATAGTAAAAATGATGTTCCCCGTCTCTAATTCAGTTACATTGGGATTGGGATGAAAAGTCCTGACTGGTGGCAGCCAGTGTGAATACGATCATGAAGTAGTAATGCGTTATGAATTCACATGGTAGTCGGGCAAAACCTCACTTGTGATTGAAATGAAATAAAAATGTGGTTAATAGTCGGACCTTGTAGTTCAGTTGGTAGATCACCGGATCTGAAACCCAAGGTTCGCTGGTTCGAATCCGACTGTAGTCGAAATTTTCATTCTATCGCATCACCCAGTATAAATACTAGTCTGCCTAACCACGGCTATCTCAGATAGTCAAAATGATGATATCGATATGTCCACCTTCATCACTATATCTTTATTTAGCCATAATACATTAAGTTAGATTTGTAGGATATTGGCCGAGGTATCTGACTCCAGGGGAGCTGTTGAATCGAGAAACATAACAGAAATTAGCCAGTCTACTAGTTGGGGGAACATGATGAATGAAGAGTTAAAAATCTTACACAGCACGGTGACTTACAGTAACTATCCATATTAGCTTATAAAAGTACACACGATGACAAAGTATTAAAAGAATATTTGTTGACTGTAAGCAAGAAAGCGTTTTATGTAAGAATACAATTTAGACAGGAAGCTCCATGCAAGATAACATTGCAGGATCTCCTCAGATCAGCTATCAATATGGAGGTTTGTGGGAATTTATTGATTAACTTCAAGTTGGTATTCATCATGAAATGATATTAGTTGAAGGAACATTAAAAACCTGAGGTCACTGGACAGCTGTTTCTCCGTAGCATGGGACTTTTGTGCAGTACGCATCCATGACCCTAACCCACCAAGAGTCGAATTTGGGATATTCAGGTTCTACAGTCAGCACGTTATCATTGAGTTAGCTACTGTGTCGCAGTCCTGTGGTCCATATTTTCAACTTCTGTCAGTTCAAGACATTACACGACTGCCACCCAATATCATCGTTGCTTATTTATCCTCATGGCCATCAGGTTTGCCCCATCGCTCACGACTTATCATTGGAACTTCAGGAATCTCCTCTCGAAGCTGGTCACCAATGAGTATTAGATTAATTTAATTTGGAGGTTGGTATTCATTAGGGACTGATATCAGTTGAAAGAATATTGGAAATCTGGGAGCACTGAACAGATATATATTCCCAGTATGGAACTCCTCCTTTTAGTGTGGATGTATTGCAGCTGGAGTTTCCTACATGTACAGTTGTGTCATGATGGCTGAACAATCATATCGCAAGGTTGGATACTTCTGAAGTCAGATATGTTGGGCAATATTCCACAAACTCAACCTTATCTGTTCATGGACACCTTCTAGCATGGCTAAATGAACACTTTGTGATAAACATGAACAGCTCAATATTATCTAGCTTAGTTATAACAGACCATGAAGTTAAGATGATGAATGAATCATTCACTACACTCGCATTAGTTTCCCATAAGGTACCAGATATCGAATACTTGCCATATCAAAACCTTCGGTCGTCTAACTTAGACAAGGTAAACTTTGTGTACATAGGAAACATACTATCTTGACTAGCTGTGGAATCGACAATTCTCTGGCGTAACTAATCTTAACTATCCCCTACCACATAAGACATGTGACTAGCCACACAGAAGATTAATATAAGTGTAAAACTTGCGCACCGTATTATTATTATTATTTGTCTTTTGGGTTCCTAATGGAACATAAGGTTTCACTAGCACGTCGCCATTATACCTTCTTCTCTGAAATCTTCTGAACCTAACTCCACCACTGCCCACAAGCTCTCATTTCTTCCTTGAACGATCTCCTCCATGTCACCCTCACCTCAGACGCACAACTCGTCGTTCCTCATTTGGATTCCACTCGAGGGCCTGACGCGTGATGTCCCCAGTCGGCCTTCTCAGTGTATGCCCAATTCATCTCCACTTCCTTCCACTGCATATTTGTTCAGCGATAGCTTCTTGCTTCGTTGGTTCGTTGTCAGTCAGCCAGAGTTCCTTGTTGCTTATTCTCATTATTCTGGCCATCTGAGCTTCAGTAAGGAGCCAGCGTAGACATTTGTTGATGAATATCTGTAGTTTGTTGGAAATGCCTTTCGTAACGCGCCAAGTCTCTCAACCATATAGAAGCACTGACTTGACTGGATTGGTGTTGAAAATCCGGATGTTGTTCACGCGTTATGCTGAGTGCAGAAGGTCTCCACATTGGTTTCAGGTTAATGAACGCCTATCTTGCTGTCTTTCCTATCCTGGCTGGCTTTGATGTCCTCGTCTGTGCCACCTGTAGTTGAAACAGTGCTTCCTAGGTAGGTGAAGGAGGCTACTTCTTTTAAGTTTCTCCCATTGATGGTGACTGGAGTTTGTTGTTGTTGGTGGTGGTGTTGTTGGTTGGGTATCTTCATCACCTCTGTCTTCTCTACGTTCACCTGAAGTCCCATCTTCGTTGCCTCACCTCTTCTGTCAACTTGTTAGTTTTCGCCTGTAGATCTTCAAGTTTGTGCGACATCAGACACAAGTCATCTTTGGTGAAATCCAAGTCTTCTGGGTTGTTTTCCGCGGTCCACCGTAACCCCTTCTTCTTGCTCTCCATTGTTTGTTGCATGATCCGGTTCACTATATTCAGGAATATCATGGATGATAGTAGGCAGCCTTATTTTACTCCTGTGGTGGGATTTAATTCCATATTAAATTTATCTGATTTATAAACACAAAATGGTGATACAGACCTAAGATATCGGTTGGTGAGGTCATATAAAGCGTACATTTGTGCCTGACCTCCACAGTCTTTAAATTTCACGACAAAATATACAGACAAACAGATGGCGTACACAACAGTGGGATCACCTATATCCCCAATCGTAAAAGATAAATATTTATGGATAAGTAGGAGGACATGACTTTATAAACTCTTAATCCTGTACCGAAGATATGGTGGCAACATGTGGATGACACATTTACTGTGTTCAAATAGGAATATGTTGACAGTTACGTCACAAATATAAACTTAGTAATAGGCGCATTTCAATTCCCTTACTAGGAGGTAGAAAATGAAGAAGGAGAATTACGTGTGTTGGATTGCAGTATAAAACGAAGGATAGATGTCGATGGTTTGGATACTACCACCGGCAGGAAACCAAAACATTCTAACAGGTATCTGGATTTCAAGTCATCTAATCTAATGTCGGTTACTGTAGGTTTAGTCAAATGTCTAAATGACAAAGCTGGAAAACCAACTAGTCAGTGAGAGGATGTAAACAAGGAACTGAGGCACGTAAAAGAAGCACTAATTCTTAATAGTTATTTTCTACAGTTTGTTATCCTATAGAAAAGGAACATCAGAAACTTTACACAGGATCCTCAACAAACCTGGAATTAGTTATGATGGCAATTAAACCTACCAACTCACTCAGAGATAAGCTTTGTTTGCTAGCTTAAGGATCAGATAGAACCAATTCAGCAAAATAATCTAATCTATCAAATTCCATGTAATCACTGTGAGTCAGGTCAAGTACATAGGTGACACTAGGTGGTCGACATCAGTTAAATTAGCGGAATATAAAAACATAGAATTTTTGAGATGAATGGGGATCTTTAATTTAGAGGCAGTATTCATCATGGAATGACATCAGTTGGAGAACCATTGAAAACGTGGGAGCACTGGACAGCTGTTTCGTCCGACTAGTATGGGACTCCTCAGCAGTACGCACCCACGACCCGGCTAGGGATCGAACCCGAGACCTTCGGGTTTCACGGTGAAAGCGTTAACCATTCAGCCACTGGGCCTGTTTCAATGGTTCGCTAACTGATGTTAGTCCATGATGAATACTACTTCTAAATTAAAAAAAAACCCCATTCATCTCAAAAATACACTACTATGTAGGGCTGATTAGTGACTTGCTTCCAGATGGATATCACGAAGGTGTAATGAGAAGCCCTGACATGTGGGGTTAACCAGTTGGAAGTGAAGTGGATGCTGACTGAAGACATTGGGTGATAGTCATGCTATATCGTGAATTGAGAGAAGTTGGAAATTGTGAAACACTGGAAACCGACCGAGTGACTGAATGGTTAACGCGTTCGCTGTGAAACCTGAAGGTTGTGATTTCGATGCGTGGTGGGGTCGTGGGTGCGTACTGCTGAGGAGTCCCATACTAGGAGGAAATAGGTGTTCGGTACTCTCAGATTTCCAATGGTTCCCCACCTGATGTTAGTTCATGATGAATACTACTTCTAAATATAGA